CCCCCAACTCACCCTCCCCCAACTCACCCCGCCCACTAACTCACCCTGCCCCCCAACTCACCCTGGTCCCTCAACTCACCCCACCCCCCAACTCACCTTGCCCGTCATCTTCTGAATCTCACTCCTGTAGAAGATGAGGCTTCTCCTCATGAACTCGTAGCTGGGGTGGCACAGTGAGGGGAGTGCTCACACTGCTGCGCCACCCCATTAAAGACCCTTACGCAGCTCCTCACCTGTTCCCCATGACCACCCGGCCCTCCTCACCTGTCCCCCCTCACCTGTCCCCGAGCCCCACCTGGCTCTGCGCAGAGCCGTCATCCACTCCTCACACTGTTCCTCGCTGCAGCACTCGAAGCGGTACTTGCGGTCAACATCCTCCACGAAGCCTGTGGGGACAGCGATTGGTCCCCCTGCCCCCGCCCCGGCCCAGCCCAGCCTCCTGCCCTCAGCCAGGCCCAGGAAACCACTTCTCACTCCACAACGACACCTGGCACACCAGCCCTGGGTCTGCACATTTCACCAGTTTCAACATCCTCCACCAAGCAGCCCTCCTGGTCACACACACACCTCCCACACCCACACGTAGCTGACCAGGCCTGTCCTGGGCCCTAGAGAGTCCAGAAGCCTCCTGAGGCCACAGAGCAGGGGACCCCAATGGTTCTGGGGACCCTTGGGGTTAAAGGCTGGATGGGGTGGTCACTGCCACTGCACCCTCTGCCCAGGCCAGCCTGGGCCTCAGGTTGAGCCCCTGTAGCAGTGGCCTGTGGCCCCAGAGAGCCTGACTTTGAGTTGCCAGGGCCCTTGGGCAGCCCCGGGCCATCGGCAGCATGGGGGACCTCAGGCAGCGACCGGGCAGTGATCGGGCAGCATGGAGGACCTCGGGCAGCGACCGGGCAGCATGGGGGACCTCGGGCAATCCCGGGCCCTCGGGCAACGATCAGACAGCTCCGGCCCGGGCAGCTCCGGGCCCTTGGCGGCAATCGGCCAGCGCCGGACCCTCAGGCAGTGATGGGGCAGCGCCGGACCCTCGGGCAGCGATGGGGCAGCGCCGGACCCTCGGGCTGCGATCGGGCAGCGCCGGGCCCTCGACCCGAGCACCCGGCTGGCCACCACCGGCCGCCTGCACCCTGCATTCATTGTCACTTCTAGACGCTGCAATAAACATACTCGTTTCAACCGGAGTGGGTCCTGTGGCTATTCTGAGTGGGGGTAGGGAACAGGCAATCCCATCTAGAAGGGACTTTTCCTAATGAAGCCACGCCCACACCTGCAGAGGGTGGGGGGCATGGGACCCCTTCCACTCCCAAGGTCTGGGAGTGCTATGCATTGCCACCTAGACTTTAATAAACATTCTGTTTCAACGTCTCAAGCCCCTGAACTTTAAATTCCTGGGGGAGGAGAGCACTAGGTCCCCAGCATCGTGTTAAAAATCACCCACCAGTGCGCTCAGTGGAAAAGAGGTAACTTTATTTCAACAAGGAGCCCTGGGGCCCCATCAGCAGTTCACACCGGGGCAGGGAGGGAGCCTGATGCTCGCTCACCCTTCACAGCTTCAATGTACATTCAACACGCCAGGGAACGCCTCCCCTTGCAGGGGGAGCTGAGCCTGAGGAGGGCCAGCCCTGGGAAGTGACAGTGGTCCCCGGCCACCTGCAGCAGCACCTAGTGCACGGGTGCCTCCACAGCGGGCATGCCACCTGGCAGCTGCAGAGACGAAGCCCCAGCGGGCCCAGGGGAAGGGACCCAGGGGTCTGGGCTCAGGCCCTCAGGCTGCTCAGCTGGAAGCGGGCCTCCTGCGAGATACCGAGCTGCTCCAGGGGGTCCTGGGAAGGCAGGACAGGGTGAGCTGGGGCCCCAACTCAGCCCGCCCGCTAACTCACCCCGTCCACTAACTCACCCTGCTCCCCCAACTCACCCTGCTCCCCCAACTCACCCTGCTCCCCCAACTCACCCTGCTCCCCCAACTCACCCAGCCCCAACTCACCCCGCCCACTAACTCTCCCTGACCCCCAACTCACCCTGGTCCCC